GTAAGCACAAGACTATATCTCAGGAGATGGGTCATTAAAAATTTAGGGTTTACATTATGTCTAAAGTACAGACATCTTTACAATGCTACTAACTTCTCAAAGGAAGATGAAATTAACCAGTAATCATGCTGATTGGTTGACTGAGATATTTCCTTGAAAAGCTCAGCTGGAAGACATACACACACACACACACACACACACACACACACACACACACTTGACATGTTCTCAAATCCCAAAGCGGATTAAAGGTAAAATACATATTCTTAAAGGTAAAAAAAAAAAAAAAAAAAAGTAAGGTGGTGGTGATAGAATTTAAGATTTGGGTTCAAAAACAAGGTTAGATTAACTAGTTATTAGGCTCAGGCAAGTTATTTGTACCACTCTTGAAATCTTCATTAACTCCATTATAGATAGGCATATTCAAATAGCTCCCAAAAGGAGGACGAAGATAATAAGTGTAAAACGTTCAGCACAGTGCCCAACACCTAGCAAGTGCTCTATAAAGCATATTACCATAAGTTAAGACACTCATTTTGTTAAATATTTATTTTGTAACATTTTATACAATAACTGCAGAACCTGAGATAAAAGTACACCACAAATCCTCAGGGTTCATTCATACGGACAAAATATTGGGCATTTTAGAGAGAAATAGGGAAATTTTTATAAATAATATACATATTATATATAGACATATGTTTAAAATAGTTTATTATTTCTATTTGATGAGTATGAGTGTATCACCTGCATTCATGTAAGTGCACCTATGTTGTGCAATGCCTGCGGAGGTCAGAAGAGGGCACCAGATTCCTTGTAACTGGAGTTACAGATGATTGTTAGCTGCCAAGTAGGTGCTAGGAATGGAACCTGGGTCCTCTGCAAGAGCAATCAGTGCTCTTAGTCACTGAGCCGCCTCTCCAGCCCCCTTTTTGGTATAGTTTTTTATTGAATTTTTGTGTATTTTATACACATCTTAATCATCGTTATATCCCCTTCTCCATAGTTACCTTCTCATAACCTTCCCATTGGATTTCAGGCAATGTCATTTATGTTAAGGCCTATCGAGTCAGTTAGTGTTCCCTGACATCCAGCAGTGCAAGTTCATCCACTGAGGTCTAGTCAGCCTAACTAGAGTCACTCCCTTAAAGAAGATCAGCAATTCCTCACTGGGTAGCAATCAGCTACCCAACAGTTCTTCAGCTAAGATTGGGGCCTGCTGCCCATTTCCACAATTCTATGCTGGTTTTTGTCTGCTTGAGTTTGCATGGGTCTTGTGCATGCTGATACCATTACTGTAAGTTCATATGAGCAACATCCCCAAAACCTGTGGGACTCTATTTCCACATGGTCATGCACCTCCTCCCCTGGGTCTTATAATCTTTCCATCCCCTCTTCTCCAATTGTCCCTGAATCCTGGGTTCATTGCCTTCTGTTGGATGAGGGAGCTTTACTGATGAGAGTTGAGAGATGCACTAGTATTCTCTTTACCTCTTGTTCCACTATGTTCCACGAGTCTTAGGTGTAGAGGCTCCATTGTAGTTACATCACTCAACTGTTCTTTCTGACCGTTAATTTGTATGGCTGTATTGAAAGGTTTAAACAGGTCCTTTGTAGTAAACTGTGCTCTTCTTTGGTACTGAAGCCTAGCTGCCAACATGAGGTATCTGGATAGGCTTTAGGAGGTGATTAAGATTAAATGAGATCATAGGGGAAAGTCCTGCTCTAGGAGACAGTGTCCTACTAAGATAAAGGGGAAAAGACACAAGCAAGAGCAGGACTATTGACAGGTGAGGAAAGAGCCCTCATCAGAATTTCCCTTCTACATTAATCTAGCTTCTAGAACTGAGAGAAGGTAATGGCAATGACGGACCTAGCTCATTAGAGTTAATAAGCATGACTCTGACTCTGAGATGTGGGACTTAGCTGTAACAAGTATGGAAGAATGTAGAGATGGCTTTGGAGATGGATAGAGGTTGGAAGACTTCTAAGGCGAATGCTGGAAATATGGAGGTTCCAAAGCATTGTTGGTAAGGTCTTTGGTGGAACTGAGGAAAGGGTTATCAGAAACTGTTGGAAAGGGGATCCTTGTTCTACAAGTGGCAAGGGACATGGTTACACTGTATTCTAGTGTTTTGTGAAATGGAGAACTTGTGTCATTAAACTGGATATTTGGTCACGATTTAGAATTTCTTTCCTTTTTGAGCCAAGATTTCATGTACCTGAGGCTGGTTTCTAATCTGTTACGCAGCTGAGGATGACCCTGAACTCCCAATTCTTTGGCCTGCACTATCTTTGTGCTGGGATTACAAATGTGCATCACTGAGCTAGGCTAACCTAGGTATGTAGTAGGGAGACTGCTAAGTAAATACTGAAGGTACAGCTTTATCCTCATTACTAAGGGTAAAAATCCCAAAATGCAGAAAGAAGTTGAAGAACTATTAAGCCCAAAGGAACAAGAATTTGGCAACTGCATTTTTAAGTTTTGATTATCAATGCAAAAATCTCATTGTTATCATAGTAATGAACTGAATTCATTTGTTCAAGAAAATAAATGTGAACAAGTGAAGTTTATTCACAATGTAAAGTTTTTCAGAGTTGGACTATCTCTTCAAAGAATACAATACAGTGAAAAAGTGAGTTGGACTGGAGCTGGTCAACTTGACCAGTGGCCTGTTTGATAATCATGTCACTGAACATAGCCTCTCACTTGCATACTGCTCACCCTGCCCACAGCCACTTTTGTACTGCAACAGCAGAGTTGAATATCTGCAGTAAGGGTACGTGGCCCACAAGCTTCAAGCACTTCGTACTTGATTTGTTAAGAAAGTTTAATGACCCCTGCAGTAAAAGATCTTCACAGATGGGGCTGGAGAGATGGCTCAGCGGTTCAGAACACTGGTTATTCTTGCAGAAAGCCCAGGTTCGAATCTCAGCACCCACATGGCAGCTAACAACTGTCTGTAACTCCAGTTCCAGGGGGTCTGACAGCCTCTTCTGTCCTCTGCGGGAACTGCAAGACATGGGTGCACTTATCTACATGCAGGTATAACACTTATACACATAAAATAAAAATAATAAATAAAATTAAGAAAAAAAAAAAAGATCTTCACAGATGCCCCCAAA